TGTTGACCAAAAGATATGCGGAAGGAAATCTAAGTGGACTAGAAATAAGCCGAGAAGATATCTTCAATGCTCGACAGGATCCAGATTTGGGGGAAACGAGGTGATGATGGCTTCAAGAGTGATGTGAAGAGGATCGTGTAAAAAAGAAACAAAGTTTTGTTGGTGGTCAATGAACCAGTTGAAAACAACTGAAGAGAACAGAATGCAGTCCAGATGTGCTGATAAAACCATATTTTCCATTCGGAAAACAAAGAACAAATACTATTAATACCAACAGTAATAATAAAGACTGACTGAATGTGTCCTAAACTCAACTTGAGCATTTTTTATGATGACGAAATGTCAGCTGAATGTGAAAGAAAACTTAAACCAACTCAGGGAAAACTCACCTATATATAATGTAAAAACTAAGGTGTAGCCATCGGTTGAGTCTTAAGGCTCAAATGATAGATAAATAAATCCGTAAAATCTTAATCCAGTGTAACTGTATTAAGTAATTTGTAGTAAATATATCAGCGAAAGACATAGTATGCTTTTTTCCGCAGATTTTCTAATTGATTATGGTGAGACAGAATATCATATACCCTTAATATGAGAGATTTACTAACGCAGAAAGAACTTATAAACTAAAAGAACCTTTGCCTGATTACAGATTTTTCAGTCAATAATTGGAATAAATTTATTGACATATTAATTGAATTCTGGCACTGTGTTAGAGTACAATTTCATCATGGGATAATTTAAAATAATAGAGAATTTGTAGCTCAGGTGGATGATTTGCAATTAAAAGTGTTCTCTGAGCTGGTTGGTTTAGTCGCGAAGCTTTCGTCGTCCTTCCGGACAACATCTTCAGCACCATATTTAGCACTTTAGCACCGACCAGCTCAGAGAACACTTTTAATTGTAAATAGAATAATTTAGTTCGATAAAAAAAACACAGTTTTTATTTTATTCCTTTACGTTCCGAGGGGAACATAGGGCTTCAAGCTAGAGATTTAAAGTTTCGTTAGCAATGGTTTTTTACTTTTACGGCGTGGTGGAGTTGCTAGATTCACGCCCGACCTCCTTACCAGTACTACTACAGGCTTAGCGAGGATTAGGGGTGCGTCGACCGAGGATCGAACTCCAAACCATATACATGGTTGCATACAGTATTATTTATTTACTGATGACATTTTGAGAACAGTTAATTGTTTAACACTGACGTAACTACATAATCCGGTTATATATTTTTCTTTCATTTTATTGGTAGTTAGATCTTCCACATCTCTGGTTTCTGCATTGACTCACCGCTACTGATGATAAACTCCTCTCTCCAAGTAACTATATCAGGAACCTATACACTATAGATCAGTGTTTTATAGTTCTTTTAACTGTCCACTCCCATTTCCTTCTGCATATATGTTAAGGAATAGGTTCTTCCCAGTTGGTTTACTACACTGCCACAATTCTTACCTGCCGTCTGACTTTCAGTATCGAGGAAGTGCTTTAAATGGCATATCAAGTCTTCGAATCATATAGAAGCATAGATGGACTTGACATTGGTGTGGAAAATTCAGGCTGTAGATCTCCATGCTGATTCCAGAGTAATCAGCGCCCGTCTTGCTTTCCCAATTCGATCCTGACTGGTTTTGGCATGCACATTTGGCCACCTGCAGTTGAAAATATGCTGCGTCTTTATGTAAGTGAAGGATACAACTCTCTGTTTAAATTTCCTCATTTATGGTGATTGCTGTTGGCTGTAGCTGATTAGGTTTCTTCATTATCTCTGTCTTCTCGATGTTCACCTACGGCACTTTCTTCCTAATAGGAACTTCTCAGAATCATTTGGCATCTACAAATCTTATTTTCAACCACTCATTCAGTCAAAGACTCGATTCCTATTCCGTCTATTTAGGTGTCTGGCCAGTAGATAGTATTCTCAACCTTTATATATTACATGTGACTCACAGTCATATCTGTGTTTATTAAATGAGGCTTTTCAATCATTTCAACATTAATTAATATCTTCTTACAAAATTTAGGCGATTTACGTAATAAAAGATGGCGAATTGATTATTACAACAGTGAACCTTTCTCCAGACGAAGTTACTGCGATACATAATACCACTTTTTGTTACCTTTACTATAACGATAAGCGAAACAGAATTCAGTGATGGGCAATATGTAATTGTGGACAAACTGTAAAAGTCTGAATTTGTAAAACCGAAAATTCATCAAAATGAAACACTGGTATTCATAATACACAGATCCATAATATCCAAAAGATACTGAAGTCTGTAACAACCACCCCCTCCCCGAGAAGCAGTTACATGAGGAGAACGAAAAGAAGGGCTTTACAACACGTACCAGAATGACTTTGGTTTAAAGGGGTCTTATAATGTGAATTCTGTATTCATTAATCACCTGACAGACATAGGGCACAGAGCAGGCACTTTGGCAGCACTGAAAATAATTATCACAGAAGACAACCGAAGTCTTCTTCGGCTGGCTGAAGCTGTCGCAATAGGACAAACTCCATCTCTGAACCCCAATTACCTTAGTAACTGTTTGTTTGCTTATTACATCACTTTGTTTTTTCCTTATTTTCTCATTTGACTTTGACATTAGACTTATTTTTTGACCTTTTGAATTCTACTCAATCTACTTATCTTCTCATTAAACTAACTACACACCAAAATTAGGTTTTCTTTTTTGATCTTATGAGTTCTACTCATTTTAATGTATTATTACTGATAACGCAATAGCTACTAACTTATCAAATTTATTCTTAATACTACCACTCCTAACGACGGATGTATCGGTTTACTTTAATTTATTTCGTGACGTTATTACAACAATCCTTACTGGAGGACTGACTCCTGTTGATAAAAAAACTATGTTGAAATCGTTATATCATTACTTGTTTTATTATACACTACAGGTTGTATTCAATTGAGGAGAATCGATGAAATACAATAGGCTAATGTGTGCACCAATGATTTTTCTTTCTCTGTTCAAGCTTATGAAGAGAAAATTGTGTATGAAATCCCCCCTTCTCCACACCGTGTTCTTATACTAACTCATAATTAACACCCACACTATTCTATCCTAAGAATGATGAAGTTGAATCACAGGACATGCTGTTTTTGTGTCATACCTTCTCACACAGATGAGAACAGTAAGCAGAGTTGCTGAGCTGTCATTAAGTGTTTTATTCTGTAAATCTACAAAATGAATCACTGTTCGGCGACACTTTCAGTGAACTGGCCATTCATTCTGTCAGGAATATGACAATAACTAAGTTTTTTAAGGACGAATATTAAGTGAAATAGGATTATATTTTATTGGTAGGGGGGCTGGGAAGAGACTGGAAATAGCTACACCCAGATACAGAGCTGATTAAAATTCAAAAAGTTTTTGGTGTTCTAAATACTGAGTAGACGTCAAAGCTGTCTAGTGGAATCTTCGTTCATGTTAAAAGTTAGCTGTATAAGATTATCTTTGAGATGGCTTGAAGTTAATCACAGTTGCACAGATGTAGTCAAAATTTTCCAATAACTAAATTCTCGTCAATTGGTAATTTAAACAACAGTACGCTTTCGTTCACCTCCTCTTCATGTAATATTTTGAAGTATGAAATATATCTGAGCCACAACACTTACGTCAAAACATCTATTCTAATTTACTTTCCTGTCTTTATATCTATCTATCAAGGTAAATGACAATGCAATACCCTAAAGATGAATTATGAAAATTTTAGAGATTCAATAAAGGGGCAGATAGAGTAACGAGCTTTTGAGCTAGATTGTTAACTAAGTGTATATACTACTGACTGATCGAAATAAGTAGTTCCATACTACCCGCATCAATCAGTAGTGCTTACTAGACAAAGCGAAGTACATTAAACACCGGACAGTCGATTTGTGCATTTAGTGCGATTCATTGCAAACAGGCGAGTCAGTTTAAACCGACTACATTCTGTCTAAATACTTGGTTGAACTGGTAATACGTTAAGTTGAATTCGGTACTGGACAATTGATTCGCCTCTCACAGTTTACACGGTTCGAGGTCAAATTACACCACAGTTCCCTTTTTAACCCATATCGTTCAGATCACAACACCTAGTACATTTAGAGTTTCTAGGAAAAAGAGCAAGTACACTGGAGAGCTAATGATGGAAAATGGAAATTAGGCTTCACTTGCAGTTACAGTGAGTTGGAAATGGAACAGAAAGTTTATAGTACTTTCAAAACACCACAAAACAGTTCTGTTCCCTTTCAGTCTCTGCAACTCAAATTTTCCTGAGGAACTAAGTAACTACCGAAAATGAAGTTATTCGATATTTTGATGGTTGATTTTTTTTATTCCTTTACGTTCCCAGTAGAACATAGGGCTTCAAGCCTCTGTTGAAATGAAATAATATATACCAATTTAGGTGTCCAAACGCTATTGTCTTCATAGACTATGTTTACATAAACCACACATGTGCGTCGGTGGCACAGTGGTTAGGACTCTCGCCGACCATGCACATGGTCCGGGGTTCGATCCCCTGACGAAGCACACCCGATATCTATGGTCGGTCTGCAAAATTTGGGCTACCGATATCCATGCTGAAAATTCCATACTTGTACCAAAAAATACGGTGTGGAATCAAGCTGTAATCAAAAAAAATAAATAAATAAAAATAGAAAATATTCCAATTTTCCGGTGTTTTCACATAAAGTATTTCATGATTTGTAGTATATATGAGCAAGTGATCAGAATGACTCATAATCTCAACCACTGACTCATACTCAACCAACATGGAATCTGTGTTCCACTGGAAGCAGATTAAGGTAGTCTGAGCAATTCGGCACAGATAACTAACACTTAAAAGCAAATTAGTCATTCTGTGTCGATGCAACCTGCACACAGACAACTATGAAATCTGATGGATCACCTCTAGTAGTGATCAAATTATACAATAGTGAATAAATAATGGAAATTAAAAATCAATAATTATTCTAAATTTCACTTACACCTTTGCCTATTCGTTTTTCAATTTCAAATCGTTTTAATATATGCGGTTCAAGTTCCGATGACATGTAAAAACTGTGAATGAATGACAAATTTACTTTATATAAAGTAAAAATGTCTAATGTTAAAATCAGTGCACATCAAATAGAATAGGTGAGAAATTAATGTTTAAAAACAAACGTTATAAGAAATTTCATGAGGCTATAATAGTCTAGGTTTCTCTTCCAATTGGTTCACACTTAATTGGTTGTACAAGGTCATTTCAAGAATTCTAAAAACAGTGATTGGATGGAAATATAATGTTGTCCTTAATATTCTTCATTTAAATTTATGCTTTCGACTTTTAAATATGTAGTGTTATGTTTTACTTTTCACCACGGGGTTTCGTTTATATTTATTAAGCAGAGAAAATTTCGTCAGAGATATCTCTTCTCCGTGGTTTCTACTCATCAGCAAAAAGAGAAATAGATAGTCAGCCTATTTGGGATAACCTTGGATTGGTAGACTCCTATTAATGGAATGATTTGAAATTTAAGGTGAAATGGAACTCTGCGACTCGGCAGGCCTCCATATAGATGATAATAAGTGTTACTAATTGGTTTTAAAATACACAATAAATTCCTATTCTGGGGTTCTACAGTCATAAATGCATGATATGATTTGCCGAAACTAACACCCTGAAATTTAGAGGGATTTAGCTTAAGACCATTTGACAAGGACCACTGACTAATTTCTGATAAAAAGCTGTTCATTTTGGAACAATCTGTTCGATATGTGCATGGCATGGAAACATTCAGACCATCGGCATACTTAGAAGAACTAACATCACCAGAATGGGGCAAGTCATGTAAGCAGAAAGGAAACAGAAAAGGAGAAAGAACAGCGCCTTGGGGAACATCAGCTAAAGTGAAGCAGTTGAGGACACACCATTGTAAACAGTGTACTGCTTCCTGCTTGTGTCATATGTTTAGCATCTATGACTGACCTGGAGACAATATTATGATGTATGACAACAGCGACACCTAAAGAACACCCAATGTGTTTCTAAGCAAATTGTCCTGGGTCCACGAAATCCTTCAATGAAGATTCAGAGATAAGTAAAAGCGGCTTTCCCATTACATTTAGGGATGGTGAGATAATATCAGTCGAACTAAACTTAACACATGATCCAGGATAACGCTAGGCAAGATAATCTAAATCTCCTGGTAATCATTTCCCCTCTGTAAACAGTAACGTCGATGAAGCACCCGTCGTTCCATAAACTAGCCCACAGGCAAAAAGAGGAGCCGTAACCTATCCGCTATGCAAAGACTATTGATTTCGCTGAGAAAATGAGTGATCTGGGCAATTCTGACAAATTCTTGATACCTTTCAACATATCCTCTTTATCCACCAATTTCATGCTTGATGAGACAGTTGAGGTTACAACCTGAATTGCTTCCCTTACCAAGTAAAACCATGAGAAAATGTTATGCACAAAAAATGTACAATTTCGCTTCTAAAATAAAAGTTTTAGACAGATTCACAAAGTAGCCATGAGGAGTAGCCTGTTCATGCTGATGCATTTGTAGGAAATCTAGAAATAAACGAAACGAAATCTGCATCTGAAAAGAGTAGCTTTTTATGGAAGGTATGTAGGTGATACCGTTGTGATTTGCAAGGTCATGAACCACGCTAGTAAATTACTCCAAAGCTTCACCAGTGTCCATCAAAACACTATTCTCACAGTGTTATACGAATGCAAATATCAGTTTCACTACCTAGATTTATCGATGAGAAGAAGGCATTCTGGCACAACCATAAGAGTAAGTTTCCATAAGGATACCTGGACTGAACAGTATTCGAAATATGTCAGTTTAGATCCAGTAAAAATACAAATAAAGACTGATCAAAATGCAGTTTGATAGATCGTGTATATTTTACTCTGGAGACTCAACTTCCTTGAAAAGCAGTTGTGTGAAAATGGGTATGAGAAGAAATCTGAAGAACGACTCGGAAAAAAATAACAGTAATGATAAGAATATGATTGAGGTCAAGGAGAACCCTGTGTTCATCCGAATAGCCTTCAAAGGGGATGATGTATCACATCGTTCAAACAAGAGATTCAGAGCTATCCTTGCTACAACCTATCCAGCAACTAAAATTACTCTTTTCTGCAAAACTAGTCTTACTCTTTATCCGTAGAAACTGGATAGATACCAATCTGAAGTGAACTCCAGTTGTATTTACAAATTCAGACAAAGGCAGACAGTTATTCACTAGTCAGAAAATATTACAAGAAGCCTGAGTCCGAAAGCTCCCCAGTCCCTTACCAGTGTCATTTGTTGACATCCAATCGAAATGGCACACAAAGTGAATATTCTAACTGCATTTACTGTTTTCGTAAAACAAGCAGTTCGAACTCTACTTCGATCCGTTGAATCTATTACCATGAAGCAACTCACATCAAACTTGTGTACACAGACAAAGCGATTAATTTCAATTTGCTCTGGTAAAATGGTTTTCCACTTATTACGTAATCAGATATTCCATCTTGTTATTTTAGTACCATGATCACTTCTTGTTCTATCGATCCTGAATTTATCCCAGGTGCTTACTTGTATGTCATTCTGTAATCCCGTTTCCTGTATGCTCTTGGTCAATTAGTGAGCTTTTTGGTTTTTAGGCCAGCTACCAAAAGTTCTCGAATATTTTTCCAAATATACGATAAGTAACTGCTTTCTTGTCATGGGATTTGTAAATGGTTATACTATCTCTGTTTGCTTAAAATACACTCTTCATACCAAACTCCTACTAATAGAATCAAGATTGTATATTCATATTTTATTAATGCAACGCATATTTCATGCTGCCTGCAGCTGAAGAAAGGCCCCAAAATAAAATGTGCACATTTTATATTGTTTGTTCTTTTTATCTTATTTTGATGAAGATGATCAATAATAACTTTGTGAGTGTTAACTTGTTATTTTAGAAGATCACTCAGTATTTCCTCTGAAATACTATCACCTGAACAGATAGTCCTTATAATAGAGCTCAGAGTTTCCTCTCAGATTCTAACTGTATTGAAAGAGGGGTAGAAGTGAAAAGGTAAATACCCTTTACCGCCGAACTCTTCCTGATACATGAACGATTTAGTTACGTCCACTTTATTGATATTACTCATTTGCTTTTCTTACTAGACAAATGGTACCCAAGAGTCCGCTACGACTCAGTCCATATCTGTCTGTAATTTCTAGTTCTGCTTCTGTAGCATGCTTAGGCAATAATTCTACGGGGATATCTGATAAAGATTTTTCATCCGCTTATTCAAAGATATAGTTGACAGTTCCTCCCAGTGGTCACATTTATCAAAAGAAAAAGGTGCTTTCAAGGACATCAATATTTTATTCTCAATATACTTAGTACTTTTGAATTTATCTGTAAATTCAAACAAATTCTTCACAATGTATGAGACTATCTGTTTATGTAAGGACTTCAAAATAGTGACGAACAATTTCTTAAAATTACACTTTACAGTATTTCACAAATCAAAGGTTGAATGGTGCTATATACTGCAGATTCACTGATTTGAATAGTTGGATGTCACTCACATCAACCAGTAGTGCTTGTTAGACACTTCAAAGTAACCTAATCACCACATGTTGGTTTGGAGCCTAGCTCTTCAGCCACGTACCCAGTCTGACTCAGCTTCGACAGCAGAATCAGTTCAAACTATTCGAATATTGACTAGCTCCTTCAGTAAAGCGGTAAAACGCTAAATTTGCACTTTACGCAGTTCGAGGTGGAGTTTCTTCACAGTTTCTTTTAGAGACACTACCCATTGATGTGAGTGGTATCCAGTTACTGATATTAATCAGTGATGCATACATGTTTGCTCTCGTGAGTCCCATTTATAGTATCAAACTGAGTATAGACTGTGATCTAAATAAATTTTATTTACAAAAGAAACTGTATGGAATTTTCACCTCAAACTGTGTGAATGGCAAATCTATCCTTTGATTCGATCAAAAAAGCATTAATCGTACTTTTTGTTCATGAATTTTGAGTACAACAAACAGCCTTTAGATATAGCTGCCTGTTATTTTTACTATTCTTTTTATTCGTTCATTTACAGAAATTTTTCGTTTTTCGATTAGCTAGCTTATTATTCATCAATTTGTGTTGTTATTCTTATTCAGAATCACTAATCCTGTTCCCTTATCTGATAACGTAATTATCAGTATATCATTTGTGATGAGTTTCTTAATAACATGTCTTGTGATTCCTGTGTAGATACATATTTTTGCTCTTGTATATATTCATAACATCGGTTAACTAAAGAGAACTTGAAGAGCAAACGACACGGAAAAAGTTTGTTTACTGAGAATACAGATCTTGGGATAGATCATCTGCTTCTGTGCAAATGATATGCTTAAATCAGTCACAAAAATTGATGTCTGAATTTTGTACCTCAATGATGACTATTTGTCTTTATTTGTCCGTTATTGAGCTGAAAAAGGTTTTTCTATACTCGTCTTTTGTTGACTTGCACGACATATCCGATGAATTATTGCTATTATTATTCGCTTCTTGTGTTCTGAGTGGAATATAATGCTTCAGCAACATTCCACCATTACACTTCATCTGCTGTCATCATTTCCACCTCACTCCGCGACTGCCCACAACACTTTGTCTCTGCTTCACATGATCGCCATGTCACCTTTTACGATCGACTTGTCTCTTCCGACTCGGGTTCCAATCGTGGACTTGACTGGCACATGTTGTTAGTTGAATGTCTGCTTAGAGTATTTCAAAACCATCTGCATTTCCCTCGGGATATCTGTCATATGAAAGGTTGCTTTTTGGCTGCCAGACAGATTCTCACATTACTTATCCATTCCGAACGGCAATCTCGTCTGTAACCTGTTGAAAATGCCTTTGTTGGCGTGTACACTAAGTCTCTAAGCCAGTTGTAGTTGAAACAGTGCCACGTATCCCGGATAATGAAGGGGCCGACTTCTAGATTCCCCTTATTGATGGTAATTAACGATTGCAGTTCTTGGTTGTTTATTTTTCATTTGATGTCTTC